GGGTCAGCACCCTTAAACGCCCCCTCCCGTGTGTGTGTGTGTGTGTGTGTGTGTGTGTGTGTGCACCCTGGTGTATTCAAACAATAGCCTCTCCAGTGTGAGGTGCTTCCTGTGGCCGCCCTTCAGCGTCCCTCTTACCCCACAGAAGAGCTCTCTGCCTGTGCACCGTCCATGTCACCGACGTCGTCACTAATTAGAGAATCCAGGACCAGAACTCACCTCAGCGAATGTTCTGCCACAATGGGCCACCGATTCACCCCCTCACCCCTTCACCCCTTTACCCCTCCATCCTGCCCCCTGGAGCCCCCTTGAACGCTGCTCTGCTGCAGCATGAATTTTCAAGGACTGAATTATGAAGCACTAGAGTTTGGAGGATGCAAACAAGGTTTTGGAATATTTTGGAAAGTCCAGTCTAAACTGTTGTTATGTGATGGTTACTAATAACCAAAAGTGTCAATTATTTTAATTTAATTTGTGAAATTAATCACATCATCCATCACAAATTTTAATGCCGGACTGTATATTGAAAATCATTCCGTCCGTCCATGACACTCAGGCGAAGAAGTTTCTCGATAACATCTCAGCGTCCAGCGTGTGTTTGTGGAAGCTTCTACTTCAGGTCAGATGACCAGCTTGTGTCAGACCAGTCGTCACGTCCAACGGCTGACAGGCTGACTGACAACAGTTTCAATTTGTCAAATATATGGACTGTGGATTTTTCTGAAGACAACTTCCCTCGTGTCTACACGCCGCTGTCAGGATGCAGAGGAATCACTGAAATCCACCACAACATGAATCAAAACTTTGAGTCGTACCTGATAGTTTTTCTATTTTTATAATACTATACTTTTGGACCGAATAAAAACAGGTGTAAAAAACATCAAATTCAGTAATGTTGATGTATAGTTATGATTAATCCTGATCATCCGCGGCTACCCTGTGATTAATCAGGTTAAATATGTCAATCATCAGACAGTCCTGAAGAGTCCACAGCATTTTGACTGAGATATTTTTACTTTTCCGTGCCGTAAACTAAAGTTAATTCCGTCCATTCCGTCCATTCCGTCCATTCCCAGACCTCGTGGACACTGAGTGTTGTTTATCTGTCTTCTGTGTCAAATGATTCAATTATTTACACTCACCCAGACAGGAAATGAGAGATTTTATGTATGAAGTATCTCTCAGCACTGGTGGACATGAGCTGGGGTTTTAATGAAGCAAGTCTGTGTCAGTTCATAATGAAGAAATCTGAGGAGTGGGGGGGGGGGGGGGGGTCGTCATCCCACTCCACCAACCTTCATTAGACACACACACTGAATGACATCATCAGTGAATGTCTTTTCTTTCATCTTTTTACCTGTTATATACAATTTCATCAGACTTGGGTCCAAAAGGTTTCAGGTTCGAGTCCACCAGCTGTCAAGTTA